CACACACACACACACACACACACACACACAAACAACCACATTATAAAGGACAACAGAAAGCACTAATGTCTGAGCAGAAACAATACGTCCAGGGTTCCCGCTCTCTTTCTCTGTGATGCTAGATCAGGTTGCAGCTCTTTCTCCTCTCCTCATCATTCCTCCTCTTTCTCTCACCCTCAGTCTCTCTCTCATACTGTCTCTAGATGGATGAAGGGAGGAAAAGTGATCTGTGGCTTTAATAAGAGTCGTGGCCTCCCAGGATTCAGCTGCCACTCTGACGACAGGCACGAGCTCTTGGAGCAGTGGGGGGTTGTGGGGAGGATTAGAAGTACAGACAGAAGTGTGATGTGGAGGCCAAATCCGGTGTAGAAAAGAAAGAGAATGTGTATACGTGTGTGTGTGTGTCCATGTGTTAACTCTGGGCAATAGGACAACATAATACTGATATCATAACAAAATTTATCACCATACACTTTTCCGAGATATCGCATAGCTACTTTATCAGTACCAGTGAGCAAATCATTACTAGTAAGCATTACTGCTACCAGTAACAAATAACAGATTAGATGCTAAAATCTACTATTGTACCAGATGTTTCATTTTTATTTCTATTTTGTCACAATTTAGTCAAGATTTCTAAGCACTAGCTAGAATATTTCACACGACAGCCATCACATTGATCCAAATCACAGTGTCATAATTCAGATGAATGCACTTGTTAAGCAATAACCTAGCTAGCAATTTTACATTTTAGCTTAGCAGAATGTTTTAGTTTAGCAGAAGGTTTGAGGTTAGCAGGACATTTTAGCTTACAAGAATGTTTTAGCTTATCAGAACATTTTATCTTAGCAGAAAGTGTTAGGCTAGTGGGACATTTTAGCTTAGCAGAATGTTTTAGCATTACAGAACAGGTTAGCATGACATTTTAGCTTAGCAGAATGTTTTAGCTTATCAGAATAGTTCGGCTTAGCAGAATGTGTTAGGTTAGCACGACATTTTAGTTTAGCTGAATTTTTTTTTCTTTTTTTTTAGCTTATCAGAAGGTTTTAGGTTTTCAGAATGTTTTAGGTAAGCAGAACATTATCTAAGAACTTTTTTTTTCTAAGAACATTTTACATAATGTTTCAAAACAGCTTTGCTGTACCATTTTTAATTGGTAGGAACATTTAGCACAAACATTTCCATAATGCTTTTTCTGTCTAACACTGTGTGAGCAGATGTTTTAGAACAGTGCAGAAATTACATTTCTTCATATGAAATGTTGATTACTTTATTCTATAAATTCTGTTCAGGTATCACGATATGATATTTTTGCCATATCACCCACCCTTTGTGTGTGTGTGTGTGTGTGTGTGTGTTTGAGGAAGCACCCAAGGGAGAAGGAACTATGCAGTGACCCAGCCAAGAATACACTCCCCTCTGTTACTTATAGATACCCAAACACACACACAGCATTCAAACACGAGCAGGCACACAGCTGTAAAACCTGAGGGCTTGCGATTAGCACATAAGACAGGAAACAAACAGAAATACTGTGTTGCCATCAGCTTAATAGGATGTAAAATTGTTTAACAAATATGTGTGAAAGTGTGTGCTATGACAAGTGTAGTTCTGAATGACAACTCAGCACAGAGGAGAGCTCCAGTTTCTCTTTCTCACTTTTCTCTCTCTTTCTATCTGAGTGTGAGGTGAAAGAGAGAGAGAGAGAGTGTGCAGGATAGCTATTCTTGCTGACTGAGCCATCCCTTCACTCTCTCACTCTCTCTCTCTCCCCCTCCCTCTCTAGAGATCTGGCTGTTCCCTTCAGTCTTGTGAAGGCGGGTTAATTAGCACTCGCCTCCTATTTGTATCTGACAGGCGGGCACTTCCGCCTTCCACCTGACTGACAGCTCTCCCGTTTACACACATCCACCTCTCTCTCCTCCTCCCCTTTCTGTACACACCATCTCTCTCCCTCACTTCCTCCCTCAGTCTCTAAACACTTGTGACCTTTATTTCACATGGAGACAAGTGTATACACACATACACACACACACACACACACACTTTTTTTTTTTAATGTCACCTGGCGACAACAGTCAAAGGGGGCAAAGTTCAAAGGTTGTTTGCTGATAAACCAAGGGACAAGAGAGCAGTCCAGCTGTTACACAGATGCTATGGTACAGGCCATCCATTGGCCTTACACATTCAAGTAACTGTCAAGAAGATTAGGAACCTAAAGTAATCAATCATAGTTTGACCTTCAGTTGGTGGGCCCATTTCATGGGGTAAAACATCATACATTGCCTTCAGGAAGACCAAAATACATAACTGACTGCAAACATGAGCAAAAGCCCAAAGACTATTTATATTGTCGCCCAGGACATTACGCTGCCATTTTAACTAGAGTCAATCCACACTGAATCTTACATAAATCTTACGTGTCCTTTTGTTTTTTGTTTTTTTAAACATAACCTGCCATCTCTAATGTTTTCAGTTATTATTCAATAGCAGCATTGGGTCCCTGGAGGACTAATGGTTAGGCCACAGTACTCTCACCAGGTTCGGCCTGGGTTTGATTCCCGGCCAGGGAACCAACCCTAGCATAAAAATTGCATAAAAATTGTGCCAAATCAAATATGGGGACCAATGATTCGCTGTGGCGACCCCTAATGGGAGCAGCCGAAAGAGGAACAACAACATTCAATAGCAGCATTAAACTCCATAAAAATGTATTCAAATCACACACTTTCTGTATTCTACTTGAGCAGAGTCTTTAAGGTAACAAACACTCACAAGTAACTAGCACAAAAAAAAATAAAAACACGTATTACAATGTATTCCCTGTCATGCTTTTAAGTACACTGTGTTCTTATTACTGCCATCCCTACTTTAAGTGTCCTTCTCCCAAGTTTCACTAACTTTGTCACACGTATAGTTGCATCATTGGTAGCACTGACAGAACTCACAACACGATGCAGATACAAGCTTACATGGTGCATCTGGTGTGAATTTGAGATAACCCTTAGCTGGCTTTTATTTTTCACAATTACGTATTTCACACCCTGCCAATTGCTGTGTCTGCTGAGAGTGTGAAACATAAGATTCAGAAAGCAGGTCAATGAACTTTGTTAGACACGTTAGTGTGTGTCTGGTAAAACAGAAATTAAATCTAGAGAAGTGTTGCAGTGGGACAGGGAGGACAAACAAATTTGCTCATGGATTTGCTGTCAATGGAGAAAAATGGAGATAATTAGTGAGCACTGACTCATCATTGTTTTTTATACTCCAACATAGTGTTATAGGGTTTCTGATGTTGGTCAGTTATTGGCAGTTTTAACAATGCGGATGCTACAACTGAGAGGCTACAGGAGAGTTTTTTAAAAGGCACATACTAAGCATAAAATTTGAAGTCTTAGCAAATATTTATGTCACATTCAGTAGATGGAAACTTTTGAACTGATATTTTAGGGTTTTTTTCCACTATTAATATCTTAACATTATTTGACAATATTTGTAAGGGAATTATGAAATCTAATATACAAAATATCTTGTTGGAATAAATTAAATTTCTATTTTTACATTTCTTTATCGTCTTCATTTTGTGTCAGGGGTGTACAAACATTTGCTTTACATACACTGCCAGTCAAATTTTGAAAAGTGAACATTTTTGGTTCAATTTCAAGAACAGTTCAATGCTCTATAATTATAAAAAGTAAGAAACAGGTATAAGTGACTTAAGAAATTTTTCACGTGTTCTCTCTGTGTCTGCATGGTTTCTTCCGGGTTCTCTGGTTTCCTCCCATCTACCAAAAACATGCCTGTAGGTGGAATGGCTATGCTATATTACCTCTAGGTGTGAATGAGTGTGTGAATGTGTATGTGCTGGTGCTCTGCTGATGTCCTATCAAGGGTGCATTCCGGATCCACTGTGACCCCTGATCCAAATAAGTTGAAGATGACTGAGACCCATTAGAATACGAATCCTTAAACTTGTTAAATTTTTTTCCTTATTAAATTGCAATAGTGGGAAAACTGTCTTAAATTGAAAAAAAAAAAAAAACCTAACTGTTCAAGAACATTTGGCTGGCAGTGTAGTACACGGTGCACCATCATGAGCTACACAGTCAGTCTGAGTGCTGAGGTGCTAGAAGGCTGTAAGCAGAGATGCTATGGCATAACCTTGGACCTTCTCTCTTCCAGACCCCTGGGGGTTAACAGGGCCTGAGTTCCTGCCCTGGGCAGCCTGCAGGGTGGGGGCAGGGGGCAGATGGGGAGAGGGGTCAGCTGCACATGGCCACAGAGGAATTGAGAGATGCTGAGAGGGGGAGATAGGGAAAGAGAGGTAGAGAGTGGGCGGTTAACAGCCGGAGCCCAACCATGGCCGGTCTTGGGGCACTGGAGCGGAGCAGCGAATGTTCTCCATTTGATCTGAGTTTTTTTTCCAAGCACTCCTTGGGGAACCAGTGCTCCAGATTCCTCCTCCTGTAGAGATTCCCCCCAGACTCGGCCCACACTGCACGCACGCACGCTCACACACACACACACACACACACACGCACAATCATGTGCATGTATTACACCCACCCACACAACTATATCACACAAATATACACTCTTAATAAGTACAGACACATGTATACATGTACAAAAAAGACACTAAATTCCATCAGATGTAAACACACAGATAGCAATGAGGCAAACAGAATCCCATTCGTTACACACTATCAAATTTCACATTCAGTCCATGCGTCTAGTAAATCTCTCTCTCTCTCTTTCTCTGTCTCTCTCTCGCACACTCACATGCGCAAATGGTGGAGAGCAGTAACTGAGCACTAGTCAGGGTTAAAGCTCTCAGTGCAGTGGGAGCCCAAATGGTCATAAAATACTTTCAGACATTAAAGTAGGACTAGAAGAAGACTGACAAAAGTGATAGCGAAAGAAGCCATAGAAGAAACGGATCACGTATCCCGCACATTATGGGATTTCAAGCTATAATCCTATAGCTCATGTAATATTGGTAGGAATTTTATTTCATTTTGTGGTGTGTTTGCTTTTGGAGAATATGACCACACTGACTACCAAGTGATCACAATAATAATTCTAAAGCAAAAGGGAGTTTATGTTGGTGGCGTGTTATTGGCCAGGCTCACCATAGAGCCAAGGGAGCCAAAAACATGACCCTCCTCATAAAATATGACAAAAATGGCCTCCAATCTCATCCGCACAAACACTCGCTCACAAAATGGCGTGTTTGTCCCCTATCTGATGCGGTTGCGGTTCAGTGTGCGGCCCTCACTAGGCAGCCTCCCTGTGGTATGCAGAGAATGTAAAAGAATTCGCCAGTGAGTGTTTTTTAATTTACCGCTCTTTTCAATAATAATAATAAAGTCTGAATCTTGTGTGTGTGTGTGTGTGCGTGCGCACGCATGTGTATCTGTTTGGGAAGAGGAGAGGGGGGAGAACGACGCAGGCAGAGATGTGATCCCCTAGCCACTGCTCTGGATTATTCCGCAATCTCCAGCACTCCCCCCCCATGGGAAGCTCTGTTTTATCATTTCATTTTGTTTCTCTCCTTCTTTTCCCCCTCTGCTAAGCAACACGTAGCGTGCTGACGGCTGGGGAGCAGGCGGCTTGTCTCATATTCAGGGCCTTGATTTCATTACGCCACCGCCAGACAGGCAAACGGGGTGGGGAAGAGAGGAGGCCTGTGTCACGCCATATTATTTCCCACCAGAAACACATTCCCGCTATTCGGCGGCTTCGCCAGGGCCGCTAACGCTCCACACGACTGCTTTCACGTCATGTCCGTGACTAAATGGCTTTTCAATCAAAGCCTGATTGAATGTTTTATATAAAAGGTAAAAAAGCTTCTTTTTTTTAAAAAATCTTGCTGCTAGGCCATCAAATTGCACTCTTTGCTCTCTCTTTCTCTCTCTCTTTCTGCATCTCTCTGTTTTACCCCCACCATGCATGCTTTCTCCTCGTTAAGGAGAGGCCCTTGATTAATCTGTGAGGAAGCAGATGCCCCTGCAGGGCCGCTTTCAGCGTTTCATTAATTACCGCGATTGTAATAACGGGCATTGTGTTTGTGTACAGCGTGTTAGCTTTAAAACACCACTCTCCTGTGGGACACCACTGACTCCAGAGCAGCCGAGAGCAGCCACTCCACACATGCACATGACACACGACACACACACACACACACACACACACACACACACAAACACACACCGGAGAAGCCACTGCGAACTATTACACTGACATGTTGACACAAATGGTGGAGAGAGATAAGAGTCAGGCTGGAATAGGAGACGCAGTCTGACTGAGACGGCAGGCTCGAGCGCCGACAAACACCAACTACATTCACTGACTGTAATGGCTTAAGATGAACATGGCAGCCCCTGTAGTGAGAGTATGTGAGAGAGGTACGCTCTCTGAACAGTTCATGAAACACATACTCAGTCGGACAGACTGACTGACAACAGGATTGAATGGTTCTGTGGTGTAGCTTCTAAAATGTAAATCATTTTTCGAATTTAGAAAGGTTTGTTGTCAAACTGAGAACTAAAAAACAATGTGCGATTTAATCTGTGTAGAAAAGGTTTTGAAATTTTTTGCTGCCGGGGACCCCTTTCCAGGGTAGAAAAAAATCCACAATCACAATTACAATCACAGCAAAGACTTACTTTATGAATGCAATCCAGCAATCGATATATTAAGTAAAGATGCACTAAAATATTTATTTATTTTAGTCACTAGGACTTTTAATTCCTGAATCCAAACCCAAACTTGCTACACCATATTAAAATGTAGATTTGAGACAATTCCATCATATTAATAGCACTTTAACTAGTAATTGCTAATTGCAGTTTGATTAAAGTTGACCTTATTTTTCTTTGTTTTAAATTATTGACATATCCTGTAAGAAACACGTTAAGCTGTTAATTTCAAACCCATTGAATTCATATCACTAATCAATTAGGCTTACAGCTACAATTAAATAATTATAGCCATAACAAGTTTAACAGTAGTTGATGGTGATCTCAATCAACTTGTAACAAACCCCACTTCAGTAAACAATGTCGCTATAATATAAACAGAACGGGCTACATTTTTTAGGCTTATTTTTGAGAACTTACATATCAGAAAAGGTCACAGGGGACCTGAGGAGATGTGTGTGTACCTGCAGGACAGTGGTTAGTGCGGTGCTCCGTCAGGTCAGCCAGGCACTCAAAGTCCTGTTGGCAGTTATCACAGGTGAAGATGGACTCGTCATCCAGATCCTCCTCTCCTGCTCGCTCATCGTGGCTGGTCACGCTGTGCTCGCCGTCTTCACCACCGGCCCGCTCTTTCCCGTCAGAGTCTCGTTCAGGCACGGCTGCATCTGCACCTATACACACAAATACACAGCAAAAAAACAGAACAGAACTGCATTAGCACCACTGACTTTTGGGGTCTGCATAACCTGGCTCAAACAGAAACCAAGAGAATGCAGTGTTCGAGTTCATTTTCCACCAAACACAGAGACAACTGGAACAGTGACAATACTAGGAAAAAAAACTCCAAGCATGTGAGAAGGTATATCCCACTG